TCAACAGACCTGATTCCTGTTATTAGAAAAAATTATCCGATGCTAGGTGTACTTGGGGATTCTATTTCAAAATTCTAAATTTGTATGACCTTCCTATAAATTTTAAAGATGCACCTGTGAAGTTGACCCAGTGAGGAGCGTGTTCTGTTTGTGCTAAGCCATCTGCACAGAGGAGATGCTGTGACTTACGTAGCACCAGGACTGAGGGTTTTGGGGATGTCTCGGCTGTTGTCACATCTACTGTCTGTGCACTAAGGTCCTCTGCTGTGCACGGGTCAGCATTCATCAAGTCACATTTATAATTTATGGCAGCGCTCACATCCACGCACTGCTTGAGAGTTTCTGAATTACTGCATCAGCATCAATACGCTGTAGAGGCAAACATCTCTGAAGTGAATTCTTAGAAAGAGGTGAACACAAGCTCAACTCCAGTGTCTAAAAGTGTCTATTTAATCTCAATTAACATGTCTTTCATTATAAATACATCAATAAAATCTTTGTTTTCCATTGGCCCATTGGGATATACCTTGTGGCCTGTCCTATGGCCTGTGACACATAATCTCAGGACAAATGAGCTACAAAAGTGTTATAAAGCAGCAAACAAACTTAGAAAAAAATTGCTTATACATGTTTTCCCCAACTTCCTACAACACACAAATTTAATGGGTTCATTCTCATAGGCTTTGTAATATTCTCAACTGCAGGTAATTTGAAAACTCATAGGAAGTTAAGTGAATACTAGATTATGACAACCTAAATCAGAAAGGTCATAAAATTACATTAGATAGTGTTATTACTGTAATATGAGATTCAAGATTATAATCATCTTTTTTTTATAAAAAAAGGAATGAAATAGTGTCATTTGCAATAAGACTAACAACTGGATATCAGTATGTTAAGTGAGACATGTCCAGCACAGGAAGACAAGCGTTGAATGGTCTCACTCACGTGTGGAAACTAACTGAGTGGATTCCTTAGAGGTGAGACTCTAACGCTGGTTACCAGAGGCTGGGGAGAGGAGGGCGGGAAAGCTTAGTTAACAGACACTGAATCACACTTAGATGGGAGCAGGAAGCTGTACAACAGGATGGTTACAGAAATGATAACTCAGTGTATTTTTGAAGGACGCCACCTCAGGAGCCTGGAGCAGGTGGGAGAAACCGACAGCTGCCATGCCTTCCTGGGCTCACCTGCAGGGGAACAGAAGCCTGGTCCAAAAGAAATGGGCAGCACCAAGGACTTCTATACAAGGATTTTTTTTTCCTTTGCATGCTTGAGCTGATTCAGTGTGGGTTTTATATTCTGGTGATGTGCAGTTGTATTCTAGTGATTTTCAAGGGCCAGCATCTGGTGAAAATCACTTAGAATTTCTGTCATTCCATGTCTGAGTTTAGCAGGTGGGTTCTGTTGTTTGCCACATCTGTGCTTTGTTCGCCGTGTTCCTGACTCACTGGGTGGGAACTGTAGCATGAGCCATGTCCTGGCCACTTGGTGAGTCTGGTTTATAAGGCACTCCAGTGTGTTTGACAAGCACTCCATTTGCAAACAGAGCATAAACAAAAAGGCCCTTCCCATTCACCTTGCCCTCCTCCCCTCTTCCCCAGCTTGAAAGTTGTGTGGAGGAGCCTCCGGCCAGACAAAGGCATCCTCCTCCTGCTTCATGGATGGTGGCACAGGGCAGGTGGCACCTGGACGTCTCCCTACCCATCCCCATCCCAGCTCAACCACTCGCTTCCACACCACAGTGTGACCTGTTTCCTGGAACATCATTGTATAGAGAATGGAATTTGCTGCAAACTTTTCTACACCCTTGCCCCCTCCCCAACAAGGGCAAAAGGAGCCTGGATGGGAAGTGACGTCAGATTCAGTTCAACTCCAGGTGTGCTGGCCAAGGACCACTGCAAGGCCAGTACTTATCCTGAGGGACCTGCTGGGTCTCCTTGCTATTGGCATGGGGACAGTCCTTAGTGGGGCCCCAAGGAGGGGCTGAGTGAATATTTCGCTTGGCAGATGTCGGGGCTTGGTGATGCAGTAGCTGGTTTCCCAGAAAGCGAAAAGTGACAGTCTCGGCTTTTCTGGGAAGCGACCCTTGATTTCCAGTAGCAGCGTGGCAGGACTGCGAATGAGATCTCCAGTACTGAGCCCTCTGCCAAGCGGCTAGCATAGCAGGAGAGGATGTGGGGCACAGCACCCAGATTACGGAGCAGGGAGGAGAGAGGGACAAGGGTTGAGTGGCAGCTCCCGCACGTGCCCTGGCTTCTTAAGGTTATCACACCACTGCGGAATCCTTTTCATAATGGGACGCTCATAATGGCTTAAAACAATACATGCATAATTGACTCTGTATGGGACGTCACTCAGCACTCAGTTTGGGTCACTTGACAAATACATATGTAAAGTATGTATTCTGTATGTTGCAGTGGGTGTGAAGGTAATATTTTAATATTTGTACAAAGTTTAATTTTAATTGTTTTATGTATATAACTTAATTTCTAAATAATAATAAAGTTTTATAAAAAATCAAAAAAAAGCTGGAAGAAAGGATTTTGAGTACGTACAAGTTTGTGAAGTTAAAAGTAAAAAAAAACGTAATCAGATTGGAAAAAATGATATATTGAAATATTAAGTTTTCAAATAAATATTAATTTTAAATTGATATTTTCCCAAAGACACCTAAATAAGATTTTCTGAAATAACAGATTCTACTATTACTTATACATCTACACCATTTCTCAGTTCAGTTTCAAAAACATAAAACAATAGTGAAGAATTAAAAATCAAAATGGTAACAATAATTATCTTTTCTGAAAAACCAATTTTCTGATTGATATTGGTTTTGGTAAGAATAATTATTTAAAAACTCTGGGGGAAAATAAAGTAGGTCAACAGTTTTCAAACAGTGAAAAAGAAGACAGAAGTAATTTTGAATAATAGTAAGTTATGTCAGCAAGGTTGGTATAGGTTCAATTAAAAATGGGGATTTATATCACCAATTAATAAATTTTTATGCACTCCACAAAGTCAATTTTTTTAAACTTTTATTTAGTCAATATAAATTTATAAAGTACAGATTATGGATTACAATGGCTTTCCCCCCTATAACTTCCCTCCCACCCTCCCATCTCCCGCTCCCTCTCCCATTCCATTCACATCAATATTCATTTTCAATTATCTTTATATACAGAAGATCGATTCAGTATATATTAAGTAAAGATTTCATCAGTTTGCACCCACACAGAATATAAAGTGTAAAATACTGTTTGAGTACTAGTTATAGCATTAAATCACATTGAACAACACATTAAGGATAGAGATCCTACATGAGGAGTAAGTGCACAGTGACTCCTGTTGTTTACTTAACAATGTGACACTCTTGTTTATGGCATCAGTAATCACCCTAGGCTCTTGTTAAGAGTTGCCAAGGCTATGGAAGCCTTTTGAGTTCGCCGACTTCACTCTTATTTAGACAAGGTCATAGTCAAAGTGGAAGTTCTCTCCTCCCTTCAGAGAAAGGTACCTCCTTCTTTGATGGCCCCGTTCTTTCCACTGGGATCTCACTCACAGAGATCTTTCATTTAAATTTTTTTTTTTTTGCCAGTGTCTTGACTTTCCATGCCTAAAATACTCTCATGGGCTCTTCAGCCAGATCTGAATGCCTTAAGGGCTGATTCTGAGGCCAGAGTGCTGTTTAGAATATCTGCCCTTCTATGAGTCTGCTGTGTATCCCACTTCCCATGATGGATCGTTCTCTCCCTTTTTGATTCTGTCAGTTAGTATTTGCGGACACTAGTCTTGTTTGTGTGATCCCTTTGACTCTTAGACCTATCAGTATGATCAGTTGTGAACTGAAATTGATCACTTGGACTAGTGAGATGGCATTGGTACATGCCACCTTGATGGGATGGTACTGGAATCCCCTGGCACATTTCTAACTCCACCATTTGGGGCAAGTCCGATTGAGCATGTCTCAAATTGTACATCTGTTCCCTCTCTTATTCCCACTCTTATATTTAACATAGATCCCAAAAGTCAATTTCAAATAAAGGAAGAAGTCAAGCATGGTCAGTGAACAGAGATGTGCCAGAAAGACTGGTGGATAAAGGCATTCAAGGAAAGAAAAAGACTGATAAATTCCAATTCAGTGTAGAAAAATCTTAGATAAGTATAGGTGAGGGTATGTAAGTAGTTTTAGCTAGGCAAAGTGATATTATCAGTTTTAGAATAACAAAAATTTATACTAGCTATACCTATGCTTTTCAATTTATAAAACCAGAGGTTATATTTTCTTTTTAAAAATGTTGAATAAAGTTTCTTCAAAGGATTTCACTATTATTTAAATTAACATCTTTTAAACCCCTAGTACTTTTTTACTAACATCCATTACGAAATAAATGCACAATTCCATTGTCCAAAATCTTTAAAAAGTGATAAAAACAATCAATACACTACATAGCACAGATGCCAACATAAAGACAAACACTGCAAATTTCACCTACAAGCTGCTTGCATCTCAATAATACCAGGGTTCTTGTGAAGTGGATGCTAAAACTCACTGTGAAATGTATTTACTTGTAGAACTGAGACAATGCAAATGCAACCAATTACGTAAAGTCCTATGTTGCGATGTCTGGAGACTTGAGTTGTGCTCTGTCACACTTTCGCGTGGCAGCACACTGCCCTACCATGTAAATATCACAGCTACACTCAGAACACAGCTCACACACTCAGCCCTCACAGCATCTCCCAAGTATTGCTGACTGAATCTCAAAGCTGCTAAGCAGCCTCCAGAGACCTCTGTCCACCTGGGAGCAAACTCAGATGCAGACAGATAATAACAAGCACCAAAGACATTCTGTAGAAATTGATATGCTGAATTCCTTCTGCAGCACCTTCTCATTTCCATATGCCACCCCGTTCAGTAGTGATCTTAATCCATCTGGGCCACTGTGTCAGAAGCAACCCAATTTCCTCAAGCAGTAGATGGGCCCATAATTGCTTACCTGACTCACAGGCAAATGTCTTAGACGTTTCATCATGAAAGATAATTGCCACTGCATGCTTCTTTGTCTCTCGAGGCAGTCTGGTTATATTTTTGATGTTGTGCAGTTCAGTTACCTTAAAAGAAAAAATAATATTTGCTTAGTGTATACCATGGCCTCTCTACTGGATGCTTCAACAAATCAGCACAGTCTTAAGCCACTTTCCAACTGATATTTGTACTCATTTCTAATTAACTCTGGTAGAAATCAATAAAGATGGAAAGAAAATATCTTCCATTACATTATCAGTTTTGGCTGCAGATGATATTGTTTGCTGCATTTTGAAATAGTGTACAAATTAAGTAGGATAGATCCATGGACTCTATTTTATTAAAATTGTATCCCCCAAAACAATAGCAGTCACGGCTACAGAGCAGATTCTAATTAACTCTCTGTTGAATCTCAATTAGACTGAGTATCTCATTCTCTGTTAACTCCCACGTATCTCGCTTATTCCTGGTGGGATTACAGCCATGAAGCAGCTGGCACCAGTGGTCTACTGAAAGCTCATTCTCCAAGTTTGGAGCTATTACACGTAAGCGATGGGCTTACTCCCCAGAAAACTGAAACAGTGCTCACAGACCCAACTGTCAGGTTTCCCACCAAGGTCCATGCATGACTCAAGGAATCACGTTAACAGTGCTTTACTCATTTGGCAATTAATAAATATTTAGGCAACTTACATATTGTAGCTCGTTATCTCTTTATTGTTACAAGTTCTTCCACTATAATGTATGTATCTTTTATTGTTTCTCATAGTCAACAGAAATGGGCAAATGTTTATTTCCTCAACTGATCTGCAAATACAACATTGCAATAGTAGTGTATGAGGTTTTTTCTAACTCATTTCCCAGCACGCTAAATTTTGGTTTTGTTTCTCACATATGATATTTATCATTTATAGATCAATGTTGTTAGCAGAAAGCAGGAAGGATTAACAGGAATATAACAAGCAGGCCATTAATCTGCTCTTGTTTGGCATCCTATGATATCATATATATGATCCTATGAGAGCTTATGATAAATTCGCTGTTTTTATAAAGTTATTTCTTTGAAAGGCAGAGTTACAGAGAGAGATGTAGAGACAGAGAGAAACAGAGAGGGAGAGCTTCATCTGCCGGTTCATTCCCCAACCGGCTGCAATGCCCAAGGCTGGGCCAGGCCAAAGCCAGGAGCCAGGAGCTCCATCTGGGTCTCCTAAGTGGGTGGCAGGGGCCCACAGACACACAAACAGGGAGATGTTCCAGTCTTATTTAAGAGGTATAGAATTTGCACAATCAAAATGCACATCTTCTTGTGTACTTTCAATCATCTTTAGATTACTAGTAACATCTAATAAATTGGAAATGCCATAGTTTAGGGAACAATAGCAAGAAAAAAGTCTCCATGTGTTCAGAATAGGTATAATTTTTTACAGATATTTTCATTCCACTGTTGGTTAAATCTGAAGATGTGAAAGTTACAGATTCAGAGGGTCAACTGCATCTATCTATCTATCTATCTATCTCTACTATCTATCTATCATCTGTCTGCAACAATCTGTCTCTGTTGATATATACACATATTTACATATATTCACTAAGGATTCAATCATGTTTAATGTGGTAAGAATACAGTAATTATATATATATATATATATATATGTATTTTACATTGCAATATGTGATTTAAATAGTGACCTCCTCTAAGAAAAACGCACACAAACCGAAAATCATAGGCAAGGAAAACAAGTTAAAGCTATAATGGAAACAGGCAAGGGTATGTGTCGGAATAGCGGCTAAAGACAGTTGGTAAAAGTCTCTTGTCAAGGGAAAACTGCACCTTATCAGGTTTTTTTTTTTTTGAATTACACTTAATGCTCATTATTCATGATTTCCACGTGTGCGAATTGATCCACTTGCTAAAATGCATTTGGAACTCCCAAATCAATACTTATGGCACTCTTTCAGTCACTGGCAGGCACATGTACAGAAAGGTGAAAAATGCTGCCTCCAGACATTCGCATCACTGTTGGAAGTTGAACAGGGAGAATCTCTCGTCTTCTTATTTCAGTTGTACAGCAGACCAGTGTCCTTTCCACGGTCTGCTTAGGGTCATGCTTTTCACATTTTGTGATTTTTTTGTTGGTGAGTTCACTTTTCAAAATGTCTTTGATGTGCAGTGCTGAAGTGCTGTCCCGTGTTCCTGAATACAAGGGGGCTGCAATACTCCTCATGGGGAAGATGCCCGTCCTAGAGGGATGAGCAATTGGCCTGATTCAACCTCATGGTTGGGAACCTGCCTCCATGTTGGAGTGCTTGAATTACACCTGCCTCTGTCTCCTGATTCCAGATTCCTACTAATGTGCACCCTGGAGGCAGCAGGTGATGAATCAAATCGCTGGTTCCCTTTCACCACTTGGAAAACCAGGATTGAATTCCAAGCTCCTGGCTTTGGCTCAGCTTGGCTCAGCCCAGCCCAGGAATTGCGGTCATCTGGGGAGTGAAACAGAGTATGGAAGTAGAGTCTGCTGGCCTGTCTGTCTTTGTAACTCTTCTCTCTACCTTTCAAGTAAAAATAAAATAAATCATGTTAGATCAGCCTTAATTAGCATGAGTTATAATGTTGTTTATCTCAAGTGTTGTTAACAAATCAACAAAATATATTAAATCAGATATCTTGAAACAGAAACACACAATACATATAAAACAAAACTAGGAATTAATCAATTGACTAAATTGCTGTGACTAAGAGGTGGACAGGAACCTAAACCTGTATCTCTCTCAAGGGCATTAATTTATTATTTGCTAATTCAGTGTTTGCCAAGATTTTATAGAGCATAACCACCATGAATAGTAAGAACTGACTGTATTCCTTAGTGATCATTCCAGAGCTTATCATAAATATTTTATTAGAATCAACTTCAGGTTGATGATACTGATTTAAATATAATAGATATTGAAATGTCATTTTTACATAGCTCTTGTACTCTTTTGTCATTTTTGTTTGTGCATATATAAATGTTATAACAGTATTTTTTAAATTTTTAATTAATTCATTTGAGAAGCAGGCAAAGAGAGAGAAAGAGAATGGTAGAGAAAGATCTCCAATTCATTGGTTCACTATCCAGTGACCACAATGGCTGGGGCTTGGCCACAGAACAAGGAACTCCACACTTGATCTTAGCCAAAAGGCCGAGAAGCAATAGAACAAGGAACTCAATTCAAATTTCTCATGTGGATGATAAAACCAAACTACCTGACACAGTGTCTGCATCAGCAGGAAGCTTGGGTCAGTGGCTTAATCTGGGCATTGAAACCAGGCAATCTGATGTGGGAACTGGACTAGGCCAGACAGTCATCCTGATATAATTATTAAATAATATTATTGTGTGTAAGAAACTCAGAGAAAGAAAGGAGAGCTACTAAATGTTTATTGTGTTTCTTATATTAGCTATTTATTTATTTATTTATTTATTATTTTTGACAGGCAGAGTTAGACTGTGAGAGAATGAGAGGCAGAGAGAAAGGTCTTCCTTTTTCCGTTGGTTCACCCCCAAAGTGGCCGCTATGGCCAGCGTGTTGCGGCCAGCACGCTGTGCTGATCCGAAGCCAGGAGCCAGGTGCTTCCTCCTGGTCTCCCATGCGGGTGCAGGAGCCTAAGGAACTGGGGCATCCTCCACTGCACTCCCGGGCCACAGCAGAGAGTGGACTGGAAGAGGAGCAACCAGGACAGAATCCAGTGCCACGACCGGGACTAGAACCCGAGGTGCTGGTGCCGCAGGTGGAGGAGTAGTCTAGTGAGCTGTGGCACCGGCCTAGCCATTTATTTTTAATTTCTGGATTCTCTGTTTGTTCCTAAGGATTTGAGCTACTATCTCCAGTTATTTCCTTAGCCTGATACAGTTTTGCCTTGCCCACCTTTGTGCTGTTATTGGTAAATCTCTTTGAGTTCTAGATGCTATAAACCCAATAGTATATTAAACACAAATTATTATGCAGCTGACTTTAAAATCAGTTAAAGGAAGAAGTAGGCATTTATACTCACTTTGATAATGTCAAAATTAACTTTACTGCTGTTCTTTGCTTTTTTGGCTTGACTAGGATCATGTTCTTTCTGTAGCATCTCTTGTAAGTCAACTCTGTTAGCCCCAGCCTCCCTCTGTTTTCCCTGTTTGGAGAAGTCTTTACTTCACCTTTTATTTTGAGAAATAGCTTTGCTGGCAATAAGATTTCTGGTTGGCTTTTTATTCTTTAAGAATTTTCAATAAATTTTCCACTTCCTCTGGTCTCTAGTGTTTCTGATGAGACATCAGATTTTAATCTTAGTCGCGTTCTTTGCATGTGAAGAGTGATTTTTCTTCTGCCACTTCGAAACTATCCTATTTCTCTCCTACTTTCAGCTACTTGCCTGTCCTGCAGCTGGACATCACTTTGCATTGATCAACTTTGAGTTCATGGAGCTTTCTGGAAGTGAGATGACAGTGGTTAGGTCTTCCTCTCTCCATGATCACACCCAACTGTTTAGCTCCTCCACTTGCAGGCTGATTGTTATGCTTTTAAAGAAATGATTTATTTTATTTATTTGAAAGGTGACGTTTCAGAGGAAGAGAGAGACAGAGAGAGAGAGAGAAAGAGTGAGCGAGCTCAAGAGAGCACTAGCTCTTCCATCAGCTGCTTCACTCCCCACGTGGTCACAATGGCCAGGGCTGGGGCAGACAGAAGCCAGGAGCCAGGAGCTTCTTCTGGGTCTCCCACGTAGGTGCCAGAGACCCAAGCACTTGGGGCATCCTCCGCTGCTTTGCCAGGTGCATAGACAGCAGTGGAGCAGCTGGTACATGAACTGGCACACAGACGGGACGTCCACCTCCCAGGCTGCGGCTTAACTCACTACAACACAAACGATCCCATCCAATTTGGGCTCTTTTACTGTCCTAGTAATGAAGTCATTGTTTGAGACTTTTTCTGAATGCCGAGGTCTCTTTCCCAGAGTCTCCCCAGCAAACTGGCTGACCTCTGGTGTAACTCACATTTCCAACAAATCTGCCGTTTCCTCCCGAGACTTTGCATCATAGCCTCCGTGGTTCTTGCTAGTGCT